TTCCCCACCCCACTCCAGTTTGGGGCCACCACTGCCTCCCCCTGCACAAGCTAACCCACTGGCGGAGATGGAGGAAAGTCAGGCTGGGGGCAGAGAGGCGGGGAGGAGGTAGGAGGAGCAGATGAGCCAAGGGATAGCAGGTTTGGGTGAAGTGGGGCACTTACCTGGCAGAGCTCCCTGGAGACACACACATACCTCCATTCTAGGTTGTATCAACAGGTGTGTTGTAAGCAAAACTCGTGAAGTCCTTCTGCCGCTCTACTCTGCACTAGTTAGGCCTCAGCTGGAGTACTGTGTCCAGTTCTGGGCGCCACATTTCAAGAAAGATGTGGAGAAATTGGAAAGGGTGCAGAGAAGAGCGACAAGAATGATTAAAGGTTTAGAGAACACAGGACAAGGAGAAATGGGCTTAAAGTGCAGCAGGGGAGGTTTAGATTGGACATTAGGAAAAAATTCCTAACTGTCAGGGTGGTCAAATATTGGAATAAATTGCCAAGGGAAGTGGTGGAATCTCCCTCTCTGGAGATATTTAAGAACAGGTTGGATAGACATCTGTCAGGGATGGTGTAGTCGGAGCTTGGTCCTGCCTTGAGGGCGGGGGGCTGGACTCGATGACCTCTCGAGGTCCCTTCCAGTCCTATTATTCTATGATTCTATGATTCTATGTTCCCTGCTGCACCCGGGCACTATGATTACGGCCAATCATAGTGACAGGGGAAAAGCCTCCATGCAGTGCTTTTCTGCACTGCTGTTTCCTGAGGGGCGGGGAAGGGGTAGGGAGACAGCGCATAGAGCTGCTTTCTCCCACCACCAGGCAGAGCCTTAGCGCAAGGGCTGGATCCAGGCAAGTCAGGGGCTGCATCCCCACATCTACTCTAGGAGAACAGAGAAGTTTTAAAAATAGGAAAGGCAATAATTATGGGGGGTTTCCATTGTCCCCATATTGACTGGGTACATGTCACCTCAGGATGGGATACTGAGAACATTTCTAGACACCATTAATGACTGCTTCTTGGAGCAGCTTCTTCTGGACCCCTCAAACATAGGTAATTCTTGATTTATTCCTAAATGGAGCTTTATGGGCAGAGGGAAAGGTGTGGATGTGATATTACCTTAACTTTAGCAAAGCTTTTTATACAGCCTCCCTCAGTATTCTTGCCAGCAAGTTTAAAAAGCATGGCATGGATGAATTGACTATAAGGTGGATAGAAAGCTGGCTAGATCATCAGGCTCAACAGGCAGTGATCAATGACTCAATGTCTAGATGGTAGTGGGTATCAATTGGAGTACCCCAGGGGTCAGTCCTGGGGCTGATTTTGTTCAACGTCTTCACTGATGACCTGGATGAGGGGATGGATTGCACCCTCGGCAAATTTGTGGATGACACTAAGCTAGGTGGAGAGGTAGATAGGTTGGACGGCAAGGATAGGGTCCACAGTAACCTAGAGTAACTTAGAGTAGTAAACAAAAGGCTGGATATGAATCTACAGTATATCCTTGTTGCCAGGAAGGCTAATGTTGCATATTGACCTGCATTGCCAGTAGATCGAAGAAAGTGATTATTTCTCTCTGCTCATCACTGGTGAGGCAACATTTGTAATACTGTGTCCAGTTTTGGGCCCCCAACTAAACAAATGATGTGGACAAACTGGAGAGAGTCCAGCAGAGGGCAACAAAATTGATTAGGGAGCTGGTGCAGCACATGACTTATGAGCAGAAGCTGAGGGAACTGGGCTTATTTAGACTTCAGAAAAAAAGAAGGGATTTGATAGCAGCCTTCAACTTCCTGAAGGGGGGTGGGGGGGTTCCAAAGAAGCTGGAGAGGGGGCTGCTCTCATTAGTGCTACATGACAGAATAAGGAGCAATGCTCTCAAGCTGCAGTGGGGGAGGTCTAGGTTGGATATTAGGGAAACTATTTCTGAGGGTAGTGAAGCATTGGAATGGGTTGCCTAGGGAGGTGGTAGAATCTCCATTCTTAGAGTTTTTTAAGGCAAGACTTGAAAAAGCCCTGGCTGTACTCATCCCAATGGGGCTGGTCCTGTTTTGAGCAAGAGGTTTGGACTGGACCGCCTGAGGTCTCTTCATCTTCTGTGATCCTATAACTGAAACTGTGCCACCATGGATAAACAACATAATAAAAGAAGCAGTGAAAGGCAAAAAGGTATCTTTTAAAAATTAGAAGTCAAATCCCACTGAAGAAACTAGAAAGGATTCTAAACTCTGGCAAGCCAATATAAAAAACAGAATTAGACAGGCTGATAAAGAATTTAAAAAACAACTAGCCAAAGACTCAAGAACTATCAGCAGATTGGTTTTTGAGTATATCATATGTAAGAAGCCTGCCAAACAATTAGTCGAGCCACTGGAAGTATTAAAAGAGGGCTCAAGGAAAAGAAAGCCATTGTGAACAAGCCAACCAAATTTTTTGTACCCACCTGTACTGAGAAGTGAGGGAGATTCCCACACTTGAGCCATACTTTTTAGGTGACGAATCTGAGGAACAGTCTCAGATTGAGATGTTCGGAAGAGGTGGTTTTGGACCAAACTGATACACTAAATCATAATAAGTCACTAGTCTTTCATTGAAAGAACTCAGACGTGAATTGCAGAGCTATTAAGTGTGGTATATAATAGGGATGTTAAATATCAGTTAATTGAATAGTCGATTAACCTGAATTCTTACCAGTTACTCAACTAGCCTGCCAGCCTGCCTAGCTCCTAATGCACTTTAAACACAGAGCTGCAGCAGGGGTAGGTCCTGGACTCATTGCAAGTCAGGACTGAGCCAGGCTGCTGGCCAACCTGGTAAACAATTTACTGATAGGGAAGGGGGGGCCGGAAATGCATGTAATCTATAGTATTAACCTATAAATTTTTGCTTATTGGTTTATCAACTATACTACTACATCCCTAGTGTAGTCAATGTCTTCCACCAAAAGTTCTTAAACAGTGTAAGCAATCATGGAATAAGAGAAAATTGTCCTATGGATCAGTAACTGGTTAAAAAATAAGGGGAAAGGGTAGGAATATATGGTCAGTTTTCAGAAAGGTAAATAGTTATGTCCTCAAGATGTTTATTAGAATCAGTGCTATTTGACACACATACATGATTTGAAAAAGGGGTAAATAGCAAGGTGACAATTTGGCTCTCACAAAACTGAGTGACTGAAAAACAAAATGGCAGATGAAATTCAATGTTAAAAAATGTGAAGTAATACACATTGGAAAACACAATTCCAACTGTACCTACAAAATGATGGTGTCGTCTAATGTAGCTGTTATCACTCAAGAAAGAGATCATAGATATTGGAGTATTGTGGATAGTTCTCTGAAAACACATGCTCAGTGTGTAGCTGTAGTAAAAAATAGGAAAGGAATAGATAATAATGCCACTATAGAATCAAGGTTAAAAATTATTAGGAAGTTGGAATAGCTTTGATATAAGGAGATTAAAAAGACTCAAATTTTTTAGCTTGAAGAAGAGATGGCTAAGGGTGGGTGGGGGGGAATATAATAGAGGTCCGTCTATAAAATCATGATTGGTGTGAAGGAAATTAATAATTAAGTATTATTTACTACTGAACATAACACAACAAACTAAGGATTACCCCATTAATAGCCAGCAGGTTTAAAACAAAGGAAAGGAAGGACTACTTCACACAACGAACAGTTAACTGAGAGACTCATTGCCAGGAGATGTTGTGAAGGCCTAAGCTATAACTGGGTTCAAAAAATAATTTGATAAGTTCATGAACCATAAGACAAGATGGTCAGTGATGCAACTCTATATTTTGGGTGTTGTACACCCCTAAACAACAGAGGATGGCTCACTTGATGATCGTCGTCTTGTTCATTCCCTCTAAAGCTCCTGGCATTGGCCACTATTCTTACGTTCTTACATTTTTAGCAATGAAAAAATTTTTTTTATCGTCTAGCAATGAGTCACAGAAGTCAAAATACCCTATCATTTAAGTACTGATGAAAACAAGATTTAGGGTACATCTAGACTGTGGCAAATGATAACAAGATTTAGGGTACATCTAGACTGTGGCACTATTTCGGGATACTGGAAGTATCCCAAAATAGCAACGCTGTGTCTTTAAATGCTACTACTATTACCCAAAATAGCAGGCACACTATTCCAGAGTCCCTGTAACCTTCATTCCACGAGGGTTAAGGGATTTGTTAGAATAGTACCTTATTTTGAAATTTGGCACCGCCAAATTTCAAAATAAGCTCTTTTGACCTAGACTCGGAATAAGCTACACAATTTGCATAGTGCAAATTGCGTAGTTTATTCCGACAGAAGGGTATTGTACAACCTTACTGATATCTAAAGTAAGGGGAGAAAGAAGGAAGACTCTACAATATTTGCCTCCTCTTCTTGGACTCCAAATATAGCCTCAATAATGTCTTTCGGCTTTTGCCTAATGTTGTGCATCATGTGGAAAATGGACTTTACCATAGTTTTGCTCCTTAAATAAAACTGAATGGTTGTACTTATAATCCAGTGACTGTAATCATACTGCAGTGATGCTTTTAGATAAGTAATTCAGTCATATAATTCACCTTCTGGTTCTATAAAGTAGTTGTTTAAAAAATGGCAGTGTTTACGCTTCAACTGCAATGAAATTATAAATCCTATATTATGAAGCAAAATAAAATTAATAAGGTTAAGAAAGGGATCAGGAGAGAGGAAAGCAGAAATAACAACAAAAAACACTAAAAACCCAGGCTGAGGTTTTTCCTCATTCAAAATTGAAACTAGTAATCAGTTTTTCTTTTTGGTGTCATCTTTAATAAAACTATGTATAATATCTGTTTCAATATTTTCTAAAATACCAATAATAATGATAAATCACTCTGCTAAATGTGTGCACTAATTACTTGTTGGTCCAGATGAGATGTTTACATGTATGTAACTCATTTTTTTCTAGAGTGCTTTGCAGTTATCTGAAGTATGAATTAAAGCATTAAAAATCCATTTTTCTTTTATTAGACTCCAGAGCAGTGGAACAAAATCCAGAATTCAAAGAAAAGAGAAATGGTAAACTATAGTTTATATCCCATTAAAAACTGACCTTTGAACTCTATCATTATAACCTCCTACTTGTTGTCTTCATGAATTTTACAGGAACACTCGGTAAGCCAAAAATTCCCAGACAGTTAGGGTACGTCTAAACTACATGCCTCTGTCGGCAGAGGCATGTAGATTTGTTTGTTCAGCAAAGGTAAATGAAGCCGCGATTTAAATGATCGCAGCTTCATTTACATTTACATGGCTGCCGTGCTGAGCCGACAAACAGCTGATCAGCTGTTTGTCGGCTCAGCACGGCAGCCATGTAAATGTAAATGAAGCTGCGATCATTTAAATCGCGGCTTCATTTACCTTTGCTTTTAAAAAAGCCGGAAAAGAGGTCTACACTGGCCCCGATCCTCCGGAAAAAGCGCCCTTTTCCGGAGGGTCTTATTCCTACTTATTTCCTACTTCCGGAAAAGGGGCCAGTGTAGACGTAGCCTTCTAGTTACCTCTAGCAGGATGTGTGGGTCAATCCTGCCCATTCCCTCCCACCAATTGTTCTTACTAAACCCAATTTATACAAAGAGACACTTGGTCGTTCTAATAATTTTTGAAGTGGCCCCCAGCCAAAAATTATTGCCCACCCCTGCTCCAAAATCATTCATGCTGCACTTTTTGCACAACTGTGTGGTAGCTGAGGGGTGCATGGGAATCTGGGGCAGGAGCCTGCAGGAGATGAGCATCTCAGGTACTTAAAGCCATGGTCTAGAGCAGGGTTTCTCAACTTTTTTTTTATATAAAAGTACCCCCTTTAAAAAAAAGTACCCCTAATACCTACAGTTTTCAGATACACACTTTTTTCTACCATTTGTTTAAACAACTTAATCATAGCTGGGCAGGCGATGAAATTTTTGGGTGTAAAAAGTATAAAAATAATAAAGCACTGTAAAACTTAAAAAAAAATTCAGTTTCCTCCAAATTTCAGTTGTGTTGACATACCCCCCCAGACTTCTCTCAAGTACCCCTATGTGTACTCATACCACTGGTTGAGAAACACTGGTCTAGAGGAGGGAAGCACCTAGCTACAAAGTCTGCAGCTGCCTAGGGCAGCGTTGAGGATTTGGTCCCAAGTGCTGCTGTGACAAGGGTCAGGCATGCTCAGACTTGGAATTGCCACCTCTCCTGTGGCTAGTAGCTGTAGCTTTCTAAGGCTAGCCTCTGGCAATTGACCCCTTGACTGCATTAAGCTAGGAGTAGATAAAGAAACTGGCGTTATGCTCAAGGAACAGAGGTCATCAATAGGAAAAGCGTGTCAGAGGAAGCAGGTCAGGCTTACAGGGGAGAATAGCCCCCACTGACTGGCTGCGGAGCATATCTAAGGTAAAGGGAAACCAGCATTGACATAGATGGGGGTGACCAGGTAGTAGAATAGCATGTAGATATGAGCAGAGGAAGAAAGACAGATGACTTCTGGTTCCCTGGGGATAAGTCCTTACTTCGGAGAAATGGTGATTGTAAGTGGCTTGCTCAAATGGCAGGATGGGTGCTGGGGTAGAGATTTGTCAGAATTGATCAGGTAGCTGCTGGCTGTGAAACTTTATTGAGCTCTGAGGCTAGGATCACATACAGTGGCTGGTGAAATAGGGTGGTCCTGGACACATAGCTGTAGAATGTTAGAAGGAAGGAGATAAATTTGTGGGGAGTTTCCTCTGATTGCAATCAAGTTTCTGTTCACTGTGGATACTGGTAAACCCAAATGGGTACAGCTCAGGGTACGTCTAGACTGCAAGCTTCTTTCAACAGAGCCCATTTTTTATCCGGTTTTGAGGTGTGGACAATCGGCTTTTTCAAAAGAGAGCATCCAGACTGCATGGACACTCTCTCGAAAGAAAGCCCTGATTGTTATTCACAGAATGGCCACCAGGGCACCTGTGCTTTTTTTCGACTGCCTCTTCTTTCAAAAAATGTCCCTGTTCTGCATCCACACATGCCTTTTTTTCAAAAGAGCTCTTTCAAAAAAGGCGTTCTTCCTCATAATTTGAGGTTTACCAATGTCGGAAAAAACCCTGCGTTCTTTCAATTTAATTTCAAAAGAACGCGATTGCAGTGTGGATGCAGGTGACGTTTTTTTTTAAAATGTATTCTACACATACCCTCAGTGAGGAAGCTGTGTATGGTAATCCTGTGCAGATATGTATGTTCAAATGGAAAAACACTTCTGAGATTCAGTAGTGGGTACACTGTGGCACTGCCACACCTGGCCTACACTCAGCAGGGGCCTTGAATGACTACATGGGAGCCCACAACTATGTTTGGTGCTGGGCCCACAAAATTTAGTCTGGCGGTGACCACCATCTCCACAGTGTACAGCTTCAGATTATTAGGGAAGAGCTATCGTTCCTTCCAATTACTACAAGAGGAGCCATTAGGACAGCAGGATAAGGGAAATATTGGGTGTTCTGCTTACACTTGCTTTTACAAATAAAACTGAACTGCAAACCTTTGTTTAAAACAAAAAAAGTGTAAAATGGCCTTGTGTGGTGAGCTTTCAACACTCACTTAATATTTTCATTTTTCATATGTTACAATAGTTTGAGAGGTCATCCGCTGTGGTAGAAAAACAATGGTGTTCTGCAGAGTATAATTGTATATACATTTTAATTAACTAACACTGCATTTTTCTTTCTAGACCCTTCTAGTTGTAAAATTGTACAATGCTATTCTTCTTCCCCTGCAGCTGGGGAGATGTAATCGAAAGAGGGATGTGACTCTCTTTTTTTCATCTGTGCATTATTTTGGATTGTTAGGGTGGTTTTTTTTAAGCCCCTAAGATCCAGATCTTCTAATTTGTAGAAACTAAGCTGGTCCCTGTTGACTTCAAGGGGTTTCCATGGTGATAAAATGGTTGAGCTACTCACAGCAAATGACAGGAGCAGGCTCAACCTATTCAAAATGAATTTGGAAGTATGCCAGATTGAAACTGTAGTAACCTAACAGAAATATTTGAGTAGCCATTGATACTATAGTGAAGGGCACAGTTCTCAAGCCATTCAGATATCTCCAAGCCAGCAGCATTTCTCATACATTTGCTGCAAATTTAATCATAAAATGGTCCATTCTCAAAGGCTAGGCTGTATTCAGATTTTGTAAATTTTGCAATTTAGATGAAATCCACAAATATCTGTCAACCCTTGGGTTTATAACCCGAGCCCAGTGTCCCATTTAGTTGGTTATTATATTGCTTTAAGAGTATTTATCATGCCTTAAATTTCAATGCTAGCTATGATTAAAGAGTTGTGTCAAACAGAACTGAGGGAAGTGAAAACATCTACCAAATTCAATAGATTGTGAAAAAATATGCTAAATTTGTATATGCTCTCTGGGAATTTCTACTGCCCATGCTCATTGCTAATAATAATGCCCAGGGCCAATTTACCAAAGCAGCTCTGATTTCAAGAGGACAACTTCTACAATGAGGTATTGTGCATAAGGATGTAGAATGTCAGGAATTGAGGTATTTAAAGTGGGGGGAACAGACCTGTAAGTGGCTATTTTAACACAAATGAGGGATTTAATTTTTGCACATCTCTTTTATTAATATGGCCTTGATGTTCATAATGTGACTTGATAGAGGAAGAACTGACAATCCAGCTTGTCTTTGACACTAGTGTTCAGGAGTTACGACCACAAAGTGACATTTTAAAACTCATTTTCAAGAGGAAAATGTAACTTTCTTATTATTTCAGAGGGCTTTGTTGAAACTGACTGAATACCCTTGCATCTTTGACATGCAAGATAAAATTGTGGTTTACAATATTGACCGCCAAATTCTGTGCCGTATACATAATGTAAGTATCAAAGTCAATGAGGTTTTTTTAAATGTTTTTTAAGCCAAATGAATGTAAAGCATGTGACACCATCTATTGTGTTTTGTAGCCAATCATTTTCCTAAATTGGTGGTGTTTGAGTATTAGAAGAGAACACCTTGTGCATGACGTGTGGCATATTTTAAGGAGCGAAACACCTAAAGCATTTGAGAACTTCTTGAAAGTAAGAAATCAAGCTTGATTATTTTGCTAGCTCTGAATATATTGCTCTGGAAAACTTTGCCTTTAATATAGCTAATATCCACAAAGGAGATCTTTTTAGCATTTAGTAGGCATTTTAAAATCCAGTTAAAAATGAATGGGGGGAGAGTATTGTGGAAGTTACTTAAAAGCAAGTTCTATGTGGGCTAGAATCCTGACAGGAAAAGCTTCATTCTTGGCACACCTGGCAATTAAACTTTGTTTGGTTAAAACAAATGGCTAATACAAATGTTTGGGGTGGGGGAGGGGGGAGTAACTGGCTGGCTAAGAGAAATGGTAATACGCACTCTGTGGAAATCCCACTATAGGGTTATAGAGGCTTCTATTTCCCAGACTTATAGTATCAGCACTACCTGATGGAGTGCTCATGCACTGCTTGGTCATCCGCTTGTGTAGACTACCTCTTGGGTAGTCTGCTGTATGTGAAAGTTATGGTCAAGCAAACAGATGTCTACAAAACAAGACATCTCCATGACTAGCACTAGTGGCCAAGTCAGTTCTTGGCCCCAGAGACTAAGTGCTGCTGTTGCTATTGGAGATAGTCCCCCACCCACCACGGATGAGATGTACTAGTGGCACAGTCTGGGAGATGGCTTGTGGTGTTGCTACCTCTGCAGTGCAATCATGTAGCTAAAAAGGAGGCTTCAATTTCCATTTCTGTTGATCTGGCAGCAGCTACACTGGAAAAACAATTGAGTGAATTAAGGACTTTAATAGAGACCTGTGTAGAACTCACCACAGCATCATAGGGTCAGATCGGCTTCTGTTTTCCAAACTCCTAATAGCACTACACAGTGGAGTACTCAGATTATCCAATCTGTGCCACAAGAGAAATGCAACAACTCTTATTTGTTTTTCTTTTGGCTGTGGTTCTTCTTCCCTGCCACACTGCCAATGGTTCCCACCCTGTGTCTACCACAGCAGTGTGAATATGCAGGGTCACTGTCATTTATGCCATGCTTTACAGCATTGAATGTCTGACTATAGTTTTGCTTCATTAAGAAACACATCAAAAATACCCTCTGCCCTCCCAAACTATAACTAGTTGATTTTCCCTAGAGCATCTTACTAATGTGCTTTTAATTTTTCATTAACTAAACATCTTTAGTATTTTCCTGCGGTTTGGTTTTTGTTTATATGCATTCATATATTGTGACAGACCTAAGCCAGCAGCCTGCCACACTCTTGTCCTATTGGGGTCCAGGAGGACCCTCCCCCAGTCTACAGGTAGGATCCAAAGAGCCCTAGACTCCAACTGATTCTGGGGGACAAAGAGAAAACAGGGATGGTCAAAGGGTTAAAACAAGGGAACTGGATGGGGATACCAAGCAGAGAGCCCTGGACAGAGCCCACTGTCCCTCAAAGGTCTTGAGAGGGGCAGCGTCTGCTGGCTCTTAGTGGAATTCTGCCCCGATGCATGAACGGATACAGGAGCAGAAATAGCCCCTTCCCCCAGTTGCAGGCCTCTCCCTCAGCCAACCTCTGCTCCCTAGTCTTATAAATTGCCATGTTGGCCATAGAGAGGAGGAGGTCCCACGACTCTGTGGGGCCATGGATGGGATGTGCATAAATTAATAGGTGAGAGGAGAAGTGCACCCAGAACCTCAACAAGAGACAAATGGTTGGGGAGGAGGAACACCCTATCCTGTATCTTAGCAGGAAACTCTTCCCAAGGGAGCAAAAATATGCAGTAGTGGAGAGAGAATGTCTCGCCGTTAAATGGGCAATGAAAGCCTTGTTACATCTGCTCAGACAAGTTTATTCTCATGGTGGATCATGCCCCTCTCCAGTGGATGCAGCAAAACAAAGAAAAGAATGCAAGTGACCAGGTGGTTTCTGTCCCTCCAGCCATTCCAGTTTTTGGTGCAACACAGAGCAGGAAGCTGCCATGGGAATGCCAATGGGCTGTCCAGAATGCACTATTTAATGACCCAAGTTGGCCAGTCACCTGGTATTGAGCCAGTGGGATGATGATATGTGACAGACCTAAGCCAGCAGCCTACTACACTCTGGTGGAAGGCAGGTATACAGGGCACTGGATAAGTGGTTTTCTCTTTCCAGAGTAAATTACTAGAGCCTGCTGCAATAAAAAGGCAGGAAAATACCTAGGGCTAATTAAATAGATTGCTCCCTCAGGCAAGTCACTCAACACTTGCAGCCAATTACAGCCAGTGGAGGTACTTTAAAAAGTCTCCCCCAGTTAAGGAGAGGTGGAAGACAAAGAGGGATGGCCCAGAAAGAGAAAAGGAGGAACAAGAAGCTGGTAGAGCTGGTTAACAGGTACCAGAGGGAAATATTTTGGAGGTATTGTTTGGAGAAGTGGCCCAGGGAAAAAGCTGCTAAGTTGGATGGAAAAATAACTGACTGCTGCTACTTTAGGGTCCCTAGGTCAGAACCAAGATTAGTGGGCAGGCCCAGGTTATCCCCAAACCTTCCCCCACACCAACACAGTCTGTTCTAGGAAGGGAGACCAGGATTATCAAAGGGTTTTCATCCCCAAACCATGGAGTAGCCTGTGATGAGTATGGTTTACTGCTATGGACTCTGCCTCCTGTAAAGAGAAGGGTTAGGTATAGAACCACAGAGAATCTGAGACTAATATTATCTGCCAGTAGCGTGAGACCTTTGAGGCACGGCCAGAACTTTGCCACAATATGTAAACTACCAACCAGTTAAATACAAGTTCTATGAAAATAGGATAAATATTCTCATACTTTACCTCATAGTATCGGACATCATAGTTTGCTGTCGTCATGGGCTATATACAAAGGGGTGGGCTCTTGTTTCCCAGAGTTAGTCATGGATCACTAGTGACAGTTCATCTTGCAGGTGGTCTGTAGGCTCGGGACTTGACGTGCCCCTCCCCCGAAACAGAGAACCTGTGTTGGTGCTTTAGTTCTGTAGCTCCCCCGTGAGGTTAGAGCACCACCACTGGCTTCCCACTGCTGAGGGAAGGAGGGGAAGGCTCGTAGCCTGGATCTGGCTTGAAAGGGAACCATCACCTCCTGGCTGGGGGAACAGCAGTGCAGGAAACTGCTAGCCTGGAGACTTTCCTCGTTGCTCCCATTGGCCAGAATCACAGCCAATGGAAACAGCAGGGGTGGTGCCTAGAAGCAGAAGGTGCAGAGCCACACACACTCTGCTCCCACCGAGACCCTGCACCTTCTCTCCCTCCCATTCCTAGCCTGCTCCTGCATCCCCACCCACCCAGAACCCCCACCCTAGCCCACTCCTGCACCCTACTTCCCAACCAGACCCTGTCACCTTCAGTCTGCTCCTGCACCCTACCTGTCACCCAGACCCCACACCCTCAACCCACTCCTGTACACTACCCCCTGGCCAAACCCTCACCCCCAGCCCACTCCTGAACTACCTCCCAACCAGACCTTGCACTGATAGCTTCTCAGCTTGTTCCACCCCCACACAGGCTGCAGGGGCGATGTAGGTCTGTGAATAAGAGCCTGAGGGGAGGGGAGATGGTCAGAA